TGATTGCAAAAAAGAAATAGAGATTAGAATAGCCAAGGCAAAAACAAATTTGAAAGCAATGGACAAAATCTGGAAAAGTAAAGCAATTAGTTTGTAGACAAAATTAAAAGTATTGAACACCTGCATCTTCTCCTGCAAGCTGTATGCCTGTGAGACATGGGTAATAACAAAAGATATGGAAAGAAAAATATTAGCATTTGAAGATCTTACAAATAGGATGGATGCAGAAAGTCACAAACGAAGAACTTTATAATAGGATATATATGAAAAAGAATCTCTTACAAAAAATTATACAACAAAAACTTCAACTGTTTGGACACATTACAAGAATGAATAAAAACANGGTGCATGCATTGAGAAATTGTAATGGGCAAATGCAAAACTTTAATGGTTTTCCAATGGTTTAACAAACATTACAATGTTCTTTAATAATAATTAATATAATTACAATAATTTCAAGTGGTAGCATTCTTTTTGGAAGATGATGTATTATATTCTGCAGTTATTTTCATAGATTTATTTAGATCTTATTGATCAATTATATATATATGCACCTCATGTCACAGGAGACATACTAACAATTAGATATATATATATATATATATAATTGATCAATAAGATCTAAATAAATCTATGAAAATAACTGCAGAATATAATACATCATCTTCCAAAAAGAATGCTACCACTTGAAATTATTGTAATTATATTAATTATTATTAAAGAACATTGTAATGTTTGTTAAACCATTGGAAAACCATTAAAGTTTTGCATTTGCCCATTACAATTTCTCAATGCATGCACCTCATGTCACAGGAGACATACTAACAATTCGTGTACTTCATACACTTCTTGGATAGTAAGTAACACAATTACAGTAACTTAAACTGGTATCATTCATTTTGGAAGATTGTATTTGCAAAAATGTACACAATATTTAAAAATAAGTTATCTTCAAGCAATGAATTTTGTTCTGGCATAATTTATTGCTCACAATAAAATCAATTTAGACTTATTTAAAGTTAAATTATATCTGAATTTCAAATGCTATTATTGAATTAATTTTATTAATTAATATAAAAAGAAACTGGAAATTTCATGTAGTGTTTATGAGTGGTGTCAAAAGAATTAGTCTCTTATTTAATTCTTAACTTACTATTCAAATTCATCCAAATTGAATAGCTGTTATTATAAGCATAAAAGGAAAGCTTTAGAATCAATAAATGAAGACAGAATTGGATTTTGATAAAAATGTATTTAAACCAGAACTTCTTAAAGTAGATAATGAAATATATTAATATTCTGTGAAGCAGTTTTGTGGGATGTTACAATATTTTGACTGATTCTAAGAAAGAATAAATATAAAAAGAAAAAATAGGACAAATTTGAACACAAATGATAAATTTATGCTAATGTTTATGACAAAAGTTTCTTTCAGTTTTGCTATGACATTCATAGTGACAATACCACTACTGAAATTGGAGTCAAGGTCAAAATTTTTTCTATGTTAATGGGATGGTATCATGCAAGAACATTTGGAATGCAATGGTTCAGACAATTATAAAAAAATACAGATAGCTTATATTATATATGTTGTATTTCAATAGCTTTAATAAATAATGTTTGCTATTCTATTTAACAATAATGCGTATAGTTCCTTTAAACTATTTATATTGTCATTAAACAGATTACAATGGTTTCCAATCTTTATACACTTTTCAAAATTTAAGAATTCTGGCATCTGTCATATTTATAAATTCAATTTCATTTTGTCTATGCATTTTCATTAAAATGAAAAATTCTTAAAAAGATTCTCTCATAAACTAATTAATTCCCAATTATTTCTTTTTGTACAGAAAAATAATGCTTACAACAATAATATTATTTTCCATATCTTGCATTTACATTTCACATTTATGATCAAATATTTCCACTTGAAAAAATCCTGTAATTAGTTTATTTATTATTTAATCTCATCTGGAGGAAAAAGCAAGTTACTATCGAAAACTAGGAACTACAATTCCTAGTTTTCGATTAAAAAAACACATTTGAAACAAATTTCTATGGGTCTAACAGTTTGGACAGGCAGTAGAATGTTATAACTTAGTGGAACCCAGGCAAATTTGAATTATGGAGTCCCACGGAGTACAGTGTTGACTTCAGATATTTTTCTCTGGGAAAATATTTTCTTATAAAAGATTGGTTTGGGCCCCTTGTTGAAGGAAACACCGGTGGGCAATTGCCCTTTTGCCCATAGGATAACACGCCACGGTGGACAGAGGTCTTGGCAGTACACAAAACACATTGTGTGCAATTTATGTCATTGAAATTTATTTTTATTACTACAATTTATTTTGAATTCATAATTTTAAAAATAACCAATATGTTTTTTGATTCAAATCACAGTGTAATATTAAGGCTATACTTATTTAAAATAACAATTACTAAAATTAGAAAATTTGTTTTTTGAATACATAAATATAAGTTAATGTTACAAGAAATGCTACTAAGTTATAATTGTTGAAGCAATACTTACTTCTTACATCTTTATAACAGTATGCAATTGCTTATCAATACATTTTTAGTTGTCATACTTAAATATAATTTATATTGCAAAGCTGCCTATCTATTTTCAATACTATATTTTATTTTCATGGTAAAAAATGCTAAAATTCTGTAATAAAAATCAAAGCGCATTACTCAAATTCTGATTTTTTTTACAAATTTGAATAATTGGAATTCTGTAAGAATTTAAAATATACTCTTGTTATTCCAAATTGAGACCAAATTTAAAATTAAAATGAGTTTTAATACCAATGTTCAGTGATCAATTAGAACTAGAATGCTATCAGTAAGACAGAATCTGTGAAATGAGTGTAATAATAAATTTATTTTCTAGATGATTATAGATGATACGAAATAAGCATAGAAGATATCTAAGGAGACATTTATAAATGTTCAGGAAATATATGTATGAAAAGTACCACAAAAATCTCGTAAATGAGAATTCCGCTGCAAAATCAGATCATGTGATGATAAACATGTCAATATAGACCTGAATTTATATACATTATATTATTATTACTGTTTCACATATCTACAGCAAAATCTTTAAATACTGTTATTAACATATAATCAACAATTTTTTGATCAATATAAAATCAAAAGATATACTTCAAATCAATGTGAATAATTGAAAATATTTTGTAGAACTATTTTAAAATTTTAATAAATGATATATATACATACACACAAACACTTACATAGTTAAAAAAATCTCTGAACAGCCTGTCTCTCGACTTGGCAAAAAAGTGATGCAACAGAATACTATTAAGTTAGACTTTCCAAATCAATTATTTATCTATTATTGATTTTACAGTGAAATCTACTTTTCGAGAGTATAAATATTTAATAATTCAAATGACTAACAGTCTAAAAATATAAAATCCTTATGCATGTTTGTGTTTGCTAAATCATTACATCCAGTAGACAAAAATTTTTGCCTTTTAGAAGTCATATTTGATAAGCTTATGTTATCTCTCATTATGTTTTGAAATCATTTAAAATTATTAAAAATTATCAATAAAATGAAAAAAAATAATCTTGATATCTTTTGACATTTTTATACGATAATTTGCTATCAAATGTCATTAAGATTACAAATAAAATTCTTCAGCAAGATATCGAAACATTCTCATAATATAGCATAAGATTAAACTGATTGTGACGATTAAAATAATTAAATAATTATCATATTTTTTAAAATATCAAAGCCTGCATTTAGCTTTATTAAATACTCTGGTTTACACTAAATAAGAATCTTTTCAAATTTCTTTAAAAAAAATAAAATAAAAGGGTATTAAAAACAAAATCAGCACTATACTCTGCAAAGTGCCTAAAAAATCTTATTATTTTTAAAGAAACGTTTATATTATTGGAGCATTTCTTCCACTTTGGCTTTTTATTTTTATTAAAATACCAAAGATGTCATTGAACAGTTATAGAATAGAATAACCACTGGTGGACCAATTGACACTTTATTAGGCAAACTTATTGACTTGAACAAGATATTATCGCAATAATATTAGTTGTGAATACCTTAGGATTTTTTAAATTACTAACCAGATAGCCTGATCAATTTTCAACTTGTAACAATATCCAACTAGGATTTTTTTTGCTCTTTCTGCCTTGTGGGCACTTTCTATTTTGGCTATGCTGTTCTTCCAGTCTCAATGGTCTGGACAAAGTAAACAACGACTATTTCAGATGGAAAATGGCATGGCCCTTAAAAATAGGAAACACAGGATGCAACAATTGGAAATGAGAGGTATAAGGCACACAAAAAGATGGTTAGCAGATAATGAATAATTTATTATCTGCTATAATTAAGGGCTGATGAAAGTAAGCATTTGGTATTAATGAAAAAACATTGGTACAACAAGACTTGGGAAGAGCATATAAAGAAAACTGAGTGTGAAAGAATTGATCACAACATAGTTGATAGGTGGGACAGAAAAGTTAAGATATTAGGGAGATCACCCATTATCCTTTTCTCAAATGATCCCACATTACAAGCCCAAGTGTACCCAAACTATTCGGCTTTGCAAAAACGCATAAAAATAGCAAAGAAATTAGACCAGTAGTAGAAAAGTGTAAAGGTCAAGTTATAAACTAGAGAAATGACTACATGGATATTTAGCAGAGTAATTTCTGGATGAAAATTCACTGAGTTCAGCATTAATAAAGTTCCTTTAGCATTAACACAAGCACTTTTGATGAGTGTATAATCGCCGTCTTCAGAAATGAACAAATTTTAACAAACCGAATGTGCAGAATGTTCCAAAAGAACAGAATTTTTAAATTCAAACCAGGTGTCTGGAAATTCTGTTAAGAACGTGAAAATAGTTTTTGACATGTTCAAATCCTTAAATTTTACAGTGCGAGTGGTGCATGCGTGGAATTGACACTGCATTGGTGATATGACATTAGGTACGTTTCATTTTTTAGATGCCGATACAAGGAAATCCACATCCCGGGTAGATCGAGGGTGGGAACATTGCATGTTTCTGTAGTAGCTGTGAGAAGCGCTTTCCAGATGAACTCAAGCCTTCGATTGTTGCAGCATTTAAGTAACACCGTTCTGGACCACAGTGAGTTGTAACCTTGCTCGAGAACTTTTTTAGGAGTCCTGTAGAACATCTTTCTTTGGCTACATCATCCTGATGCTCTGCAAGGCGGGAGGTGAACATTCTTGTTGTTGCTCCTTGGTATCTTGTAATAGCTCCCGTTGCCAGATTTTCTAGGTGTATTGTGTAAACCCCCGACTTTTCTAAAGTGGTTAGCCTGTCCCGATCGTTGCAGATACACCTGCATAGGTTTGTTAGGGGGGTTATGGGTAGAATGAAGTTATGCAGCCGAAATATGCGGCTGATGTGTATAGAGGTTGGTACGAGATATGGCAATGATGACTGGATCACTGATGCTTTTTTCTTTCTGTACAGCATGGTACATGGGAATAGGGACTCTTTTACCCTATGGAGCACATGTTCATATTTGTCATGCATAAATCCAGCAAGAGACACTGCCACTCTGACAATGTCTAATTCAATTTTTGTTGCTAGCTGCATCGACGGAAGTAGTAATGCCCTTCTAATGAGTGCAGCAATGGTAGCATTGACGTACTGCAATGGTTGGAAAGCATCTGCCGCGATAATATATGGTAGCACATTAGATTTGTGATGAACAGCAAATTGTGGCCCCTCAACCAACTTTTGTATGCACAGATCCAGGAATGTTATTGATTCCTCCTGCTCCTTCTCCCAAGTGAAACTGATAGTAGGGTATATGCTTGAGAGTTGCTGCACAAATTTGATAAATTCCTCCTCTGTATTCTCCCATATTATTAGGATATCGTTGACATAGCGCAAGTATAGAGATGGATAACTGATGACAAGAGGGGAGTTGAAAATTCTACGCTCAATTTCTCTCATAATGAGCTCGGCCAAGACTGCAGATAGCGGAGAGACCATAGGAACTCCTTGCTTCTGCACGTAGACGCTCTTGTTGAAAAGGAAATAGTTGTGCTCAGTGAGGAAAGTTAGCGCATCACATATGTCTAGCACTTATTGTATGTTAAATCCCTTTTTGATGATCAAGGAGTTGGCAAGCATTACGGCTTCAAAAACAGGTATAGATGGGTATAAGGACACCACATCCAATTTGTAGAAAGTATAAGAATCTTCATGTGTACCACTCATGTTGGAAGCAATGGTGGACTTGGCAGCTACAGACAACGGAGTAACATATGGTGAGCCCAGAAGTTTGCACAAAAACTTTGCAAGCGCCTTTTCTAAAAAATATGTAGGATGTGATCTCTTGTTTACCAGTGAGTGTAACGGCCAGTTTGCTTTATGCATTTTTGGTTGAAAGAATAGCTAGAGCATGCTACATTGGTGGGAGGATCAAGGCACCCAGAGTCGCAGCTATTCCTGGTAAAGCTATTATTTTCCTTGTCCTTCGCAGTACTATTGGTGTTGGATCATTGTTTATAATCTGAGAATGTGATTGCAATAAGAACTCATTGGCTCTAAAGATAAAATCATCCTCCTTGCACAGAACAAATCATTTTTCCTTGTTAGAGACCGGAAGCCTCAAGTTATTCCTAGTTAGGAATTGCATTACTGCTTGGTGGTTCACGTGACGCTTTGGCACACTAGACACCTACTTCGTCGCCACAAGCTTTGTGGTGATTTCTAACTCCATTTGTGGTTATGTGGCTTCTGCCAGGCAACATTTTATTATGAGGAACCCACAAAACTTAATATCTGAGCTCCAAGCCATATCATTACTGGATGAAGAAGTTGGATTGGTCATGGACTTTGAAAATTTGTATCCATCTATGAAATTGGAGTTCTGCTATCATGCTTTAATTGACACCTTGATCCAATTGAACCAGATGTGTCGGCCTTTTCCAAAGATACAAAGCTACTTGCAAATCTGATATGTTTTCAATCATTCTTCAGCTTTAAAGGCAAAATCTATAAACAAAAGTGAGGTGTTCCTATGGACAACCCAATGTCCAGTTTACTGCGTGAGTTAGTTATATGCTGGTTAGAACAGATTACCATTAGAAGTTTTAAAGATGATATAATCTTGTAAAAATGATACGTGGATGATGTATTCATTTTATGGAAGAATAATAGAAGAATACAAGTTTTTGAATGAGATAAATTCCAACAACAAAGGTTTAAAATTTAAATTGGAACAACTTAGTAATAAGGGCGTGCAGTTTTTGGACATTGACATTTTAATCAATGAAGGTTCTTTAAGCATGAAAGTGTACATAAAACCCATGCATGACCCACTATACATTCCTTCCTATTACAATGATCCACATATATATAAACTTTCAGCATTTAGGGCTTTAGTCAGAAGGGCATTCAAATATTACTCCAACCTGTACGACAGATTACAAGGATTGGATAGGATTAAGACTGTTGATATGACATTGGGATTTGGAGCAAAAATCATCAAGAAATTAATCTGCTCTTACTCAAATTCTAGTAAAACAACAAAGAAAAGTATCAACAGCAATGTTATGAAGTTCACATACAATAGAGGCATATCCACTATTATGAAGGAGATTGCAGAATACAGGAACATAAGATTAATTTACAAAAGAGCTCCCACAGTCTATAACTTGCTTATAAATGACAAAGATCAAGAAAGAACAACCAAGGAGGTATAAGATGCCTTATAAGAATTATCAATTACATCTGAACAAGGAATACATAGGTGTCACCACCAGAAACCTTGCAAAAAACTTAAAGAACATATTTACAATGTGAATAAAGAGCACTGTTCTACAGCACTATCCAGAGTAGCACAAGCAGATGGTTCAGTAATGGAATGGAATGAAACCATGATTGATAAACCAGTGCACTCACCAACTCTAGCATTAAGTTAAAGAAATTTGAGATACATAAATCCAGTTTCACAGGCAAATGTTTAAATTACAAGGATACAGAGTTACCATCAGCCTGGAAATATATAATCAGGAATAGCTCATCAGAATCTAATCCTTAACATGCCTTTAACATTCTGTTAACATATGTTTATTATCATGTTTTATGTTAATTTATTATATTTACTTTATTTCATTTCATTTCATGTATATTGTTAGTTATTCTTTGTATATTTTTACTTTTTAATGAGGTATTAGAAAGTATTTGAATTTGTTATTAAATGTTCATTCAAATAAAGAACAATTGTAATGGTTCCAGGAAGTTTAAAACCTGACGATGGTCTGTTGATTTGTTTCAAGCAATAAAATAGTTTCTCAGAAGTATAAAGTATGTTGTAATATCTAGGTAGTTTTACCTTTTTCAAGCATTTTTGTAACTTTTTCTACTGTCTGTCAAAAAAAAATCTTTATTCATAATTACATTTTTTAATTTTATACTATGTCTAAAGAAAGAAAAGTTATATTTGGTTTATAAAAAAATTTGATAAAATGATAATTTTAAATTATAGATGAGGATGTGAATATATTAAATTGAAAATAATTATATTTTCGATTTAATTTATCCAGGTTTTAAATAGAGATCTGTTTAAAAATGTTATGTTGCTACATATTATGAATGAAAGTTTTGTACATAATGTTCTGAGTATAACATATCTGTTCAATAACTGTTCAATATCTGTTACATAAGTAATGGTAAAATAAGTAAATAAATTTGCATTTTACTGTTTTGTTTCATTACATATATATGACAATATAATTAAGAAAACCATAGTTCATCCTCTGATACATTTAAATAGCCATAGAAATTTAATCCAGATAATAAATTATTTAAAAAATAGTTTGTCTTTAACTTTAAACACCATAAAGTTTTACTTGATTTAGTATAGTCAGAAATACTATTTGGAATTAAATAATTTTGTATTTTTGACATGGGAAATTACATTTCTTATGACACTCACATTGGCTCTACATATTTTGGTAATTTATATAATATTCTGCACTATCAAAAGTAGAATATAAATAAGATTTATTGATCACCTACTACACCTGTCTTATGTTTATATAGGTCTAAAACATCACTAATATATCTTTCTTTTAGACTCCATGTCATCACTAATCACTATCATTGTCAATATCTAATAGTACTGTCAGAACTCTTGCCATCCTACATTTACTTATTTTATATTTCAATCTAATCTAACTCATCATCCACTAATTACCTCTAAGTTATTATGTACCTGTAAATATATTGAATATGTTGTCTAAATAGTTGGAAATTCCTCTTTTTCTTCTAACAGTCTATATCTTAAATCCAAGAACTAAATCTACTGACTTTTAATCCCCTTCTCTAGCCTGTTCCTAACTTCTTTTGGCTCAACTTTAATCTCTCTCTATCATCAATAAACACAATATAAATTGTGAATAACATATATCATAGTTCCTTTCTCACTGCAAACTATAATAATTCACCTAATATTAATAAATAAAAAAAAGATACGGACTTAACCTTGATAAACTCCAAAGCCAACCTAAATCCTAAATATGTTTTTTTGTAACACTTTAAATCTATTGTATCTTAAAACATGATTTAACATTTCTATACATTTCCATAATTTAATGTATATAATTCTCATCGACCCCTTTTCTTCCTGATTCAGAGTTCTCGAGAATCCCGAAGGCATCCCATATTAATAACCCAAAAATATCTTAAAATGAACACAAACTGTAATCAAAAAACAGTCTAAACAATTTAAAGTCTAAAATTGTGAAAGTGACAGTTAATAGAAATATAAATATTAACGACATTTACGAATAAATAATGTTCAAAACCGAATTAAAATAGTATTTATAAGCAATCCATTAAAAAAGACAAAAGCAATATCTGAATTAAAAACAAAAAAATTTCATATATAAAAAGAATTTCGAATGTTGACAGCTGACTCTCCCTACGCTCAAGCCAAACTTATGCTCTGAAGCAACTGCAGTGCTCAAAATAGCAGAAATATTTATTATGCCACTTCTGTAGCATTAGAGCTTTGACAGCATATTTATCAACTCTGTTTATGCCACACAGACCTCTAAGTGATAATTCACTTCCAGACATATTTAATTTTGGATAATGGGGCTGGCAATGCATCCACATGTTAAGCAGTTGTGGGTTCAAATCCTGCTCCAGGCGGATTCTTTTTTCAGATTATTCTAAATTATTTAATAAAATTTGATTATTTTAATTATTAAATTCGATAATAGATAGCACCTAATGTCTACCTCTAATAACAAATTACTTAAAATTTAATTATTAATAGTAGCCCTATATATTATGGCAATCATTTGGCTTTGATTTTATAATAATCATCTTAAAACAGAATTTCCTTATAAATAGGAGAATGTCTATGTATATATTTAAGTATATGTATGCTGATACATATTCATGAATATCAATGATTTGCACACACAAATATATAAGAGTATGTGCGTATACACGTGAGCATACATATACATACTCATACACATCTTTAGTACAGTACAATAGTTCAGACATCCTAGTAGATGAGAATAACATTGAAAATGTAGAGAGCTTTATATATTTAGGAAGCAAACTAACCTATAATCTGGATTGCAAAAAAGAAATAGAGATTAGAATAGCCAAGGCAAAAACAAATTTGAAAGCAATGGACAAAATCTGGAAAAGTAAAGCAATTAGTTTGTAGACAAAATTAAAAGTATTGAACACCTGCATCTTCTCCTGCAAGCTGTATGCCTGTGAGACATGGGTAATAACAAAAGATATGGAAAGAAAAATATTAGCATTTGAAGATCTTACAAATAGGATGGATGCAGAAAGTCACAAACGAAGAACTTTATAATAGGATATATATGAAAAAGAATCTCTTACAAAAAATTATACAACAAAAACTTCAACTGTTTGGACACATTACAAGAATGAATAAAAACAAAAAAATTAGGACTTTAGCCTATGGTATTATGGATGGATCCAACAAAAGA